GCCGATGCGGGGAACACGGGTTCGTGCCCCGGTCCGGTTGGATCCCACATGCCGCAGAGCGGCTGGGCCCGTGGGCCATGGCCGCTGAGCCTGCGCGTCCGGAGCCTGTGCTCCGCAACGGGAGAGGCCACAGCAGTGAGAGGCCCGCGTACCGCAAAAAAAAAAGAAAAAAAAAAAGAAATGGAGTTTGTTGTGAAGGGGGAGCAAAGAAATGGTAGGGTGTGTGGAGTCAAGGGAAGGTTTTCAAATGGATGCTATCAGGGTATGTTTGTGTACCAGTGAGAGGGAGCCGGGCGGCGGGGCGGCAATAAGGGGTAAGGGAATAGAAGGTGCACACTATTATGTATACAACACAGGGAATACAGCCATTATTTTATAATAACAAATGGAGTATAACCTTCAAAACTTGTGAATCACTATATTGTACACCTGTAACTTATATAATATTGTACATCAATTATAATTCAGTAAAAAAAAATAGGGTAAAAAAAGAGGGAGAGAGAAGACAACAGATGACATCAAAATGAAAGGGGGTTTTAGGAACAATATTCCTGAAAAGGCAAGAGAGATGAAGTCTAGTGCACAAGTGGAGGGGTGGGCCTTTGAAAAAAGAAGGGGCACTTCATTACAACACAGTGAACGCAGATGGCTTGGATGCAGATGCACTCAGATTAGGAGATGTGGTGGTGAGAAAATAAAGGCATTCTACACTGACTGCATCTATTCTCTTCCAAAGAATAAGAGGCAAGATCACAGTCATTAAATATATTCAGGTTGACACTCAACAGAATGTGTTTCACACAGCCAGGTCACCTTTAAGTTCACTTTGGTAAGTATGCTTTTCTAGACAAGGAACAAAATTCATGGTAAATTCTAATTATATTCTAGCTTCACACACATACACACTAATACAAGAAAAAATGAAACCACTTAGCTACACAATCAAATATCACCATCTAGTGGTTGAAACCTTAAAAGCCAACATATCAAAGCTGGGACCCACACTGTGATTCTTGAGAAGACATATCCTAGTTAGAATTAATTCAAGAAAAAGCTGTTTGAACAAAATAACTTATTAAAAAAAACCCTTAATACTGCATGAAATCTACCAATCACATATAAAATCTTAAAATAAACTACCTAAAGTATATTTACTGAGTGCTTACTAGGTGCTAGGTGGCATGCTAAGCTCTTTTACATGGACTTGCTCTTTAATACCCCAATAGTCTTTGAGGTAAGCGTCACCATTTTAATATAAGGAAACTAGAAATTGACCCTTGAAAGGTTAAGAATGTATCCCAAGTTTATACAGATATAAATGATAAAACTAGGATCTGAACGGAGTTAAAATAACTTCAAAATCCGCACTCGTAACCACTAGACTTACTATACTGTATAAGGCACCAACATTACTTAGGGCTTGCGTAGAAAAGTAAACTAGTCTTCTGTTACAAAGAATCATGAATACTACAAGGGAGAACTTCAGAATTTAAAAACCATTCCATTGCAAACCAAATTTTTCTAAGAGCAGTTATAGTTTCTTACTAACGAAATAAACTGGACAACAGGAGTCTCTGATGCTCAAGAACTATGCCTCCTTTGGAGGAAGACTGACATTAACACACTTGGATCATGCATAGGCAATGTGTTCAGAAAACTCTCTCGGTGCTACATAAAACTAAATAAGAGAATCTTGAGGGCAAAAACGAAGAAAATCACAAGGAGGCAAAAGAATGCATCCCAGGAAATAGAAGGTGCTCCCTCCTCCCTCTCTCCTTTAGCAATTCCTCCAGGGGCATCCCTACTTCTCTACCATTCTAAGGCTTATTACTCATTCCAAGTTCAAAGCTGTTCCATATTTTATTAGTTAATCCTTACCATCATAGGTTATAGGGAAAAGAATAAGACTCAGAAAAGAACAATAATTTTCAAGTGTCATATTCTCATACAGATAGGAAAATTCTATTCCCAAAGGTCCTTTGTGGTTGGGATATGAAATAAAATATGTTCTCAGAATACTGTGTTCTAATGTGGAGTTTAAAATATATATTCTTATACTACAATGCAATATATATGGTAGTTAATCCACAAAAACCTATTTAGCCATAATATAGCAAAACACAGCAGCCTTATAACTATTCAATAAATATTTACTGAGGGCCTGGCAAGTGCCACAAATTGGTCTAAGAGCTGAAGGTAGAGGACAAAAGTCTGTCTAGACAAAGTCCCTACATTCCTGGAGCTTACATTTCTACAGAAGAAAGACAACTAAATATAAACAACTAAATAAGCGTATAAGGTAACTTCAAAAAGGAAGAAATACTGTAAGAAAATTTAATATGCTGATGTGACTGTGGTTTTTCATTACTTTGTTAAAGTCATAAAATTACTTTTCACCATTGCCAACAGAATATAATGAAAAGGGTCTTACTGTTGCATATAAAGAGATCACAGTCTAGTTTTTTTTCTTCAGCAGTATTTACTGCAAACTTATTTGTATTTCTTTGCTCCAGAAATACCAAGTTGGTAGAATCTTCCTGAACATGTAAAACAATTTCTTTTACATGTTTAGGAAAATTCTTTGCATTTCCATATTCTGTTCCCACTTTCTTGAAATGCTTCCCACCACTATTGGTTTGGCAAAATACTACTCCTTCTTTGAAACCCAGCTGAAGACTGAACTTATCTGTCAGAACTCCCTTGATATACCAGACAGAACTGGTGGCTCCATTCCCTGTGATTCTGAAATATTCTGTATGAACTAACCTGTCTTACTGCATACACTACTCTGCAGTGTATTGATAATTATCTGTATTCTGTGCATCTTACCAAAGGCTGAGCTCCTTAAAGTCTGATAACATATCTTACCTCTCTTTGAATGTTTTTTTTAAAGAAGGATGGATGGATGAATGGATATTTGATGTTATATTTTAATGATGACATTACACATTTCTTAAAAGTTGACTCATTTTATACAAATTGGTACATCAATAAATGTCTAATACTGTTCCTGAACCAATAACTGCCACCCTAGCAACTAATTTACTTCCTGATCTGTCACCATAGTTGAGATCAACTTAATGATACCCTTTGAAACACAAATTTAGAAACATACACATAAGTCATGAGTAAAGAATTTTATTTTTCATTCATTTGTAAGGTTTATTTGACTAGTAATCCTTTCACCTAATCACAAAATAGAAGTTCAAAATTCGTTTTTTTTTTTCTTGGCCACACCATACGGCATGTGCGATCTTAGTTCCCTGACCAGGGATCGAACCAGTACCCCCTGCAGTGGAAGAGCAGAGGCTTAACCATTGGACCACCAGGGAAGTCCTAGAAGTTTAAAAATCTTTAAAAAACAACAACAACAACAACAACAAAAACATGACTTCCCTGGTGGTCCAGTGGTTAAGAATCTGCCTTCCAATGCAAGGAACGCTGGAAGGCGTCCAATCTCTGGTCAGGGAACTAAGATCCCACATGCCGTGGGTCAACTAAGCCCACACGCCACAACTAGAGAGAAGCCCATGAGACACAACTAGAGAAGCCCACGAGCTGGAACTAAGACCCAATGCAGTCAAATAAATAAATAAATATTTAAGAAACAATAAAAAAGGCTGATGTAATGGAGGAAGAGGGAGTACGGGGTTGCTGGGTAGTCAGGGAGGGGTTTGCTGAGAAGAGGACATGTGAGCAGAGATCTGAAGGACAAGACGACAGACATCAGAACACAGGAAATAAGAGCTTTTCAGACGGAATCATAAGACAAAGTTGTATTAAGAACTGTGTTCAAAAACACAGGGAAGACCAATGTGGCTAAAAATGTAGTGAAAATGATGGTGGTTTAAGATAAAGTTGATTTGGAAGACAGGGACTAAGTTTTATTTTTCTTAATTTAACTTCACTATTCTTCCTTATATTATTTCCTATTCCTTATATTACTTTCAATCAATTGAATATTCTCTTAGATATCTTTAAACCATTATTTCTATTTACTTTTGGCTTAGAGTAGCCGAACGACTCATTTCTACCATATTCCCTTAATTCTGTTACCTTTTAAAGCTGTGTATACATTACTCCAAAAACAAGTGCTAAATAGCTAAAAAACTTAATCATCTCACAGTGTTCTCCATTCAAAATAAAGCATCCAATCCAGCTGATTTCAGTGAAATGACTCAGTGTTTTGACATGCAGGAAAAAAAAAAATGAGTTATTTTGTTTATACACAAAGTTGGTATCTCTCATCTACCACAGGAAATTCATAGGGAATCCCATGGCAATAACTGAATAGCTTTTCCCTTCTACACACTAGTGTGGTCTAGAGAAAAAGATAAAAACAACAAAGTTAATGAACTTTTAACAGGCATTTACAGGAATTTCTAAAGATGTTTTATGGATGTTCTGAAAATGATTTCATAAACGTGGAAAATTTATAGTTGGTTTTCTTCTGACTAAGACAGAAGAGCCAATCTTGCAAAGTTCTACAAGAGAAAAATCTTTGCCTAAAACACTGGAAATGAGAATTCACAATCTAACATTAGGCCGTTAAGCTGTTAGTTGTCCTTGATTTATTGTCTACCATTCACTCCCAATTTGAGGTGCTAATATATTATAGCTTAAGCATTATTTTATGTTTTATATTAAAATGCATTAATAAGATTACTCCCAGAATCAAAAATAATAACATGCCTAGAAACAAAAATGCTGGTTCCTCACCTTTGACTCAATTATGACAAAAATGATAAACAAGGAATCTTATAACCATCCTTACCAATAGAAAAGAAAAAAGAAAAAAGAAGATAAAGAACAAAGAAAAGAATTTTCAAAAAGTGCTTCTTGCTCAGCACTACTTTTAATTTCTCAAACTCTTCAGCACCACAAGGGAGATACCAGTCAAAGGCACAAAGGCCTGACTGTAGATCTCTGGATGATCTGAGGAGTATTCTGTCCTACCAAAGACCAAAACTGTTCTCGAAAAGAAAACTCTAAAAACATACCTTTTATTTTCAGCCAAAGTGGCTCCTTCGTCCTTCAGCTGTTTACTTTTCTCAGCACAGCCTTCAAGGAGAATTTCTTTCCTCCGTTTAACGGCATGAAGCCAGTTCCCTTCATCATTCTCAACTGCATCCTTCTCATCAGCAGCTTCAGCTTCAAACTGCTGGGAAGTGACCTTTGAGACCTTCTCACCAATCTTCCTTTTCCATCCAAAGGAAGCCATTCTGGAAGAATTACAAGGAAAAGAGCTTTAAATTTCAAACTTGGCCTTTTATAGAAGTATTCCAACAAATAGGTAAAGAAAGGATAATAGGATTAGACTGTCATCATTTTTTGACCCCTAATTAAAATAGTGGATCTAGGCAATAATCACTGAAGGCTGCTAACATCATAAAGAAAGACAAGTCCACAATTGTATCTCCTGATGGAAGTGACACAGCATCCATGAAGTACTTCTGCCAAAAATTAAAGCTCAATCAGATCAAACCTCTACCAGTTTACAAGAAATATGGGATACAGATGAGCATGCTAAATAAGATGTCAGAGATGCAGACAGCAAGAAACAGAAACTAAAGAAAAAACTGGCTTCTTCAAGAAATAACTGCCAGGTTTCTTCAAGAAAAAAAGAAAAGTGAGACTTAAGAAACACACAAATCAAATATAACGTGTGGAGCTTGCTTAGCTACAGGTTCAAACAAGCAAATGGGGAGGAAACCTTTATGAAATAATAGGGGAAATCAGAACAATGATTTCATATTTGATAATACTAAGAAGTTCCTGCTTTTTTTTTTTTGGTATAAGATTATGTTGACAAAAAGGTGCTTATCTTTTAGGAATACATATTAAAATATTTCACATGAAATTACACGATATCTAGGAATTGCTTCAAAGTAATCAGTGGGAGTGGGGAGTGCAATAGAAGAGAGATGTAGATAAAAAGATTGCTTTGAGTTGATAAGCGATGAAGTTAGGTGGTGAGTACACAGGATTCTTTGTACTTTCCTCTCTCCTTTCATATATGTTTGAAATTTTCCATAAAAAAAGTTTCTGAAAGATTCAAACTTAGGAAATTACTTAATTCACAGAACTATAAGGTTAATCAGAATGATAAGAAATGTTAAACTATTTTGTAAATCTGCAATAATATACAAATGTAAGGGCTAAGCGAGACAGCATAACTGATGGAACAAAGTTAAAGGAAACCCTGGAAGAACTGAACAAATATTTATTTTGAGAAGGGATTTGCTGAGGGATTGAGAGCTCTTGCTAGTTACATGAATGGGTTTAAAGATACTGAGAAACCTTGGAATTCTATATACATTTTTATATGCTTGTGTGCAATCTGCACAAGAGTCTCTAAGCTTTCATTCCATTCTTAAAGGAGCCTATAACCCCAAGAAGATTATGATCAACTGACTGATCAACTATCAAGATAAGGAAAAGCAATGAACCAGAGGTCTCCATAAAACTATCAAAGACTGGGCATTGTGGGAGTAAGGGAGGGAGAGAAATGAAATAGCAAGTAAGTTCTAGCAGATATCAAGATCTTTATCACTGATGCACACGCTGAAGTAAAGTATAAGTAACCACTAGACTGAAGGAGACAAAAAAACTGAGGTTGGCTATGAGGTCACTAACATGGAAAGGCCCAAGATGCAGATTTTGGAGGAGTAAGAAAATTGTGGGTCATGTACCTAAGTTCTTAATGAATATGACAAAGTGCCAATAAATTACAGCAATCAAGAAATGTACAGGTTGATACGGGTAAACCAACATGCTTTCCACAGGAGCAGAGATTTCTAGAAAAGCCTGTAGGAGTAATGGACTATAAGCTATACTAGGGAATCAGGACAACGCCAAACTCTCTCCCCAGATCCATTATAATAGAGGAGAATGAGTTTCTTCTGTCTGAAGATGACTGCAAGTAACT